GACCATCCAAATTCCTATCTATTAGTTTCCTTGACAGATTGATTACAATACTCCCACATATTTTGTGGCATGCACACACATCGTGTGCACCGGAGTACTAGTAAATAAATTAAAAAAAAGGGTTTAGTTAAGAATTTCAGCCTTTTTCTAATTGAACGAAACATATTTTGTCAACATCACCTAAAATTGAGTTTAGCAATATAGATAGTAAATTCATTCTAACCGAAGCAAAGTTTTCAGAGGTAAATACAAACTGTCACATTTTAAGCTCCAGGCTTTTTCTAATTGAACGAAACATATTTTGTCAACATCACCTAAAATTTTGTCATGTGATTTGCTAGGCTGAAACTTATGGTTTTTCTTTTGGATATCAGTTCTGACAAACCATTTATTGGATGACCTGGATTTTTCTTCCTCCTGTTCTGCAGGGACAGCATGTGGTAGTCTTGAAAATCCAAAACTCACTTATACTGGAGATGTTAAGCTACGTTCAGGCAGCAATAAGATTTCTCTGTTAAGTGCTTCCGTTGGTCTTCCTGTAAGTTTGCTTTACCTACTTTTTCCTGTAGAAAAGCTGGTAACAACCATAAACAAATTAAACTTTTGATTTAATTGAAGAATGTCGGGGAGCATTTTGAGACATGGAATGCTGGAGTGCTTGGTCCAGTTACACTGAATGGTCTTAATGAGGGACGAAGAGACCTTACATGGCAAAAATGGAGCTATCAGGTTAGCTGCCTTCAAATTAGTACTGTGAATGAAAATAAAGATTGCAGGTTCAGTGATTTTTATGTTTGTTTGCAGATTGGTTTGAAAGGGGAAGATTTGAAACTTCATTCTCTTACCGGAAGTTCGAGCGTCGAGTGGGGTCAAGCATCTCAAGACCAACCTCTCACATGGTACAAGGTTAGGACCATTTACTTTCAGATATTGTTATTGATCGATGATTAAGTGAAAAAATTTCAATTTACGTTGAGAAAAAAGAGCATATATAAGCAGAAAATAATATCGAACTCCAGTTAATTCCTCTCTGCTTTATGTATTGAAAACTTGCCCTGCGACTTTTTTGCATCTTCATCAAATGTGGCCAACTTACTTTATCTAATTATATTATACATGAATGCTTCAGGATGTAGTGTCAAATTTCTTTATCGACTCTGCCAAATCAACTTGAAACACTTTAAATTCTAGATTATATAATTGACATATTCGACATGTTTTAAAAGTTACATCATGTTTGTGAATAAACCATATTTGGATGTTTCGAAGCCCTGAATCTGATCATTGCATCTGTTCAAATTTGAAGCCTAACTCTCAAAACATTTGGTTTTTTTTATTTTGTGACATTCTAAATATCCTAGTTTAAAATATAAATCAATGGCATAAATATTCAGTTTAAGCAACTATGATTGCATTTCGAACTTTGACAGGTAGAATTTGGGTTCAAATGCTCCCTGCAGCCTAAAAATTATGCATTTTCAATATTTTTTGACCGGTACATGAATAACTAATGATGAGCATGAAGTTCTGACCATGTTCTATTCTTTCAACAGTCTCTCTTCAACGCGCCAGATGGAAACGAGCCATTGGCTTTGGATATGAACAGTATGGGAAAAGGTCAAATATGGGTAAATGGACAAAATGTTGGACGGTATTGGCCTGGTTATAAAGCCTTCGGTACTTGCAACCCCTGTGATTATCGTGGACGCTACAACGAAACAAAATGCCAGACAAATTGTGGGGAGGCTTCTCAAAGATGGTAAGCTTTATTTATGTCCTTAAATTAAGTATGGGTTATCTGCACCGCTTTACTATTGCCCAATTGCGGATAGACCCCTTGTATTTCTATTGTACCCCCCAAAAAAAAAAAAAGAAAAAAAAGAAAAAAAAGAAAGTGATCATTATTGTTTTAACTCTTTTAATTCGGAGGAAGATAAAATTGTTTTTCAATAAATAGACCTCCAGAGGGTAATAGAGTAAGGGGTCTATCTGCAACAATTGAATTGCAAGGTGTCTATCCTCAATTGGAAGATAGTACTAGGGGTCAGTCCACAATTAACCTAAAAATTATCACCTTCTTTATGAAACTTAACTTAAAAACTTTATCACGATAAATTTCAGGTATCATGTACCTCGTTCATGGTTAAATCCAACTGGTAACTTGTTGGTGGTATTGGAGGAATCGGGTGGTGATCCTACCGGGATTTCTTTGGTAAAAAGATCGATAGGGAGTGCCTGTGCTGATGTTTCGGAGTGGCAACCATCGATGAGAAATTGGCATACTAAGGACTATGAGAGATCAAGGGTACATTTACATTGTAGTCCTGGACAGAAGATGACCAAGATAAAATTTGCGAGCTTTGGTACTCCGAATGGAGTTTGTGGGAGCTTTTCAGAGGGAAATTGCCACGCCCATGAGTCTTATGATCCTTTTGAAAAGGTAAACTTTCATCCGTTCTTCCCAACTCACTTTATTGATTTATGATACATGTAATATATAGTACAATATTCAAATCTTGTTTATATAGGATATCATAACTTAAGTGCCCTATATTGAAATCCTGTTATAACTTTGAAAACTTTCCATTTTCTATGACGTATGTATCATTTAATTGAATGCTTTCTGCACATCATATAAGCATATGATGCACTAGTAATTTTTTTTCTCAATTTTTTTTACGTTGAATTATGATCCACAAAGCATTTCCACTATGAGCCACAGAAAATGACGCTTATGAGGAATGATCAAGTTTCGAGAGAGTCTTGAGTTTTCTGATCAGCCTCTCAAGAAATGTTATTGTCGGCTAATTGTTTGTTTTTTGAAATATTGATTGCTATACATTTCTATATCCAATAATGAACTCTTTTGCGCTTATTGGTTTTATATGCTATAATACCACCTAGATATAGCTTACTCAGCTAGAATGTGAGTGATATTTCTACTTATGGGATCAGGTTCTTTTATGCTCTATATAGTTTTTTCTCTTTAAAAAAAAAATCTAATACAAGTTAAACTTTTTATTTATTTATGCAGAATTGTATCGGCCAGGAATCATGTGCAGTAACAATAAACTCTGACAATTTCGGAGGTGACCCATGTCCGGGAACCATGAAGAGGATCGCAGTGGAAGCAGTCTGTGAATAATAACAGAAAACTGATCTCGATCAGAATAAAGAAAAAAGGTGGCATACTCTGAATTGTTATATAAATACTCGTACACTTGAATACAAACCTTAACATCTGAAGAATGCAGAAACTTTGGCACACTAACCAGCCAGAAACAAACACGAAGAATTAGAGATCGACTGTTAGAACACACAATGGCAACAACAGAGAATGTATTCATGTGACTTATGGGAGAGCGTACATGTATATATTTTGAGTTCATGTGCACTACTTGTGATGATTGGGATATTGAAGGGGCGAAGCCTCATGAGAGATTGGAGTTTCATTCGAGCAAGAATTAGATAGTTTCTTCAGTATAGGTTTTGTATTGGTGCTGTTGTTTAGTATTCAGGTCCTTGCAGGAGTCGCTTCAGTATAGGTTTTGTATTGGTGCTGTTGTTTAGTATTCAGGTCCTTGCAGGAGTCGAGACATTCTGAATTTGTACCCGAGAACGATATTTAGCATTTTGATTTAGTAATAATAAAAAGTTGAAATTCTCTTTCAAATTTCGATGCCTGTTCTATGTGTTCTTTTTTCCCCCTCCTTTCTTTTTCTTATGATGTCTGATGTGTATATTCTCATAATGCTTCTTTAAATGTTTGTCTGGATCTGCAACCAACCCTATAAAAATTAAACCTGAAATACCATTATTTATAGCATCCAATGTTCATTGGGGGGAAAAAATTAAAATCAAATCAAATGTTTAGATTCTACTGCAAAAATCAAGCAAGTTTCGGCCTTGACCCAACCAGATCCAGGCTGCAGAAGCCCACAAAATCCAAGTTTGGGTTGCTTTTATGCCCAAGTCAGCCCTTTTCATAAGCTTTTGAGTGTATTGATTGTTGGAATTGGGGGTGTGAAGTCCAAACCTCGTGCAGGCGAGGAGCTCCGGTGAGCTTGAGAACCACACAGGCGAGCGTGGGTGGCGACTCAGGCGAGGTCGAAGGCGCGGTGCAGGCGAGCTCGACGAGAGACATGCGAGCTCGAGTTTGGGGATCTGCAGGCGAAGTCGATGGTGAACTTGAAGGAGAGTGCTGGCGAGCTTCTGTCAGGCGAGGTCGCTCAGGGCGAGTTCAAGGCAGACGAGATTTCGTCAGGCGAGGTCGACGCAGGCGAGAATCGCTGCTGGCGAGCTTTCCAGGCTGTCAACAGCCTGTCGACAGCTCAGCTAGGGTTTCCCTATAAAAGAGAAATCTCTCTCTCTCTCTCTCTCTCTCTCTCTCTCTCTCTCTCTCTCTCTCTCTCTCTCTCTCTCTCTTTTCCCAGCGCTCATTCAGAGAAGATTGGGGGGGAATTAAGAGGGGTATTAAATAGAAGAGAGAATTAAATAGGGTATTGTTCACTGTAGCTACAGTAATAATTATTGCATTTATTGAGAGATCTCAAGTTTGAGATCTGTTCTTGCATTGTAATTTCTTATTGATTAATAAGAAATTAATTGTGTGGTTCCCGTGGACGTAGGCAGTTGCCGAACCTCGTTAAATCTTGGTGTGCTTTTCTCTGTACTGCGTTTCTGCTGTCTTAGGGGTTTCGACGTAAATTTCCCAACAACTGGTATCAGAGCCTGAAACGATCTAGAGGAAGTCAGATTCAAGTGGAGCCATGGCCGCAAATGAAGAAAAAAAGAGACTTTGAGAAGTTTGATGGAACAGATTTCGGATTCTGAAAAATACAGATAGAGGATTATCTCTATCAAAAAAATCTGTATCAACCACTATTGGGGAAGAAGCTGGAGTTGATGAAGGAAGATGAGTGGATCCTTCTAGATTGACAAGCCCTCGAAATTATCAGATTGACGTTGACTCGTAATGTTGCGTTCAATATTACGAAGGAGAAGATCACGGCGGGTCTTATGGCAGCACTCTCAAATATGTATGAGAAGCCATTAGTCGCGAACAAAGTTCATTTGATGCGACGGTTATTCAATCTGAGAATGGCGAAAGGCGTGTCAGTAGCACAATACCTCAATAAACTCAACACGGTCACAACCCAATTGAGTTCAGTTGAAATTGAGTTTGACGAGGAAGTTCGGGCGTTGATACTTTCGTCCTCCCTACCAGAGAGTTGGAACGCTACAGTCACAGTTGTGAGTAGCTCGTCGGGAAACCACAAGTTGAAGTTCGACGATGTTTGTGTTCTGGTTCTCAGTGAGGAGATCCGACGGAGAGAGTCGGGTGAAGCTACAACCTCTTCAGTATTGCATACATAGTCAAGAGGTAGAAATTCAACCAGAGGGATCGGACGAGGCAAATCAAACTACAGAGATAGATCAAAGGACAGTAGGTCCAAATCCAGGAATCCAAGCAATAACTCGAAGGCTATCGAGTGTTGGAATTGTGGAAAGACCGGGCATTACAAAAATCAGTGCAAGAGTGTACAGAAGGAGAAGGAGGCGAACGCAGAGGTGAATATCACTTCCACTTCAGGAGGAGACGACGCATTGATCTGCTCTTTGGAGAGCAAGGAGGAATCTTGGGTGTTAGATTCAGGAGCGTCGTTCCATACTACTTCTCAGAAAGAATTCTTCGAGAAGTATATCCCCGAAAATCTTGGATACATATACCTTGGTGATGATCAACCGTGTGCTATTCTGGGCAAAGGTGTGGTGAAAATTAAGTTGAACGGATCAGTATGGGAGTTGAAGGATGTCAGACATATTCCTGACCTGAGAAAAAACTTAATATCCATAGGCCAATTGGCTGGCGAACTACGACCTTCCATGGAGATGATTGGAAGATCTCAAATGGCACAATGACGATTGCCCGAGGCAAAAAGACTAGTATCCTATTATAACAACATGTACACGTTGTTTGATCTCAGTTGCTGCAGGCAATGAGACTTCAAAGCTGTGGCAACAGAGACTCGGTCATATGAGTGGGAAGGAGATAAAGATCATGCACACAAAGGGAAAACTCCCATGTCTAGAATCAGTTGATTTAGATATGTGTGAAGAATGCATACTTGGAAAGCAGAAGAGAGTTACTTTCAGACAAGTGGCAAAACCCTCAGGAAGGAAAAGCTAGAGCTCGTTCACTCAGATGTTTGAGGACCAACCACCACCGCGTCCATTGGTGGAAAACACTACTTTGTGACTTTTATCGATGATCACTCTCGGAAAGTGTGGTGGTGGAAAACACTACTTTGTGACTTTTATCGATGATCACTCTCGGAAAGTGTGGGTCTACTTTCTGAAGTATAAGTCAGAAGTATTTGAAGCTTTTTATCGATGATCACTCTCGGAAAGTGTGGGTCTACTTTCTGAAGTATAAGTCAGAAGTATTTGAAGCTTTTAGGAGATGGAAAGTTATGATCAAGAATGAGAACGGTCTAAGAATAAAGAAACTCAGGACCGATAATGGCGGTGAGTATGAAGATACCGGATTCAAGAAGTTCTGCTATGAGCACGAGATCAGAATGGAGAGAACCATGTCCGGCACGCCTCAACAAAATGGTGTAGCTGAACGGATGAACCAAACGTTAACAGAGATAGCCAGAAGCATTCGGGTACAGTCAGGCCTACTGAAATAGTTCTAGACAGAAGCAATCAACAGAGCAGCTTACTTAATCAACCGAGGTCCATCGGTTCTATTTGATCACATAATATCAGAGGAGGTATGGTGCGGAAAGGAGGTACAACTCTCACATCTCAAAGTTTTTGGTTGTGTAGCTTATGTGCATATTAGTGATCAATGCAGGAATGAGCTTGATCCCAAGTCAAAGAAATACACTTTCATCGGCTATGGTGAAGATGAGTTCGGCTATCACATTTGGGACAACGAAAATAAGAAAGTGATCCACAGCAGAGATGTGATATTCAATGAAAAGGTGATGTACAAGGACATGCACAAGACATAAAACTCAGAGAGCGAGTCAATATTTGTAGATGCAGATGATGTCCGAGTAACCTCTCGGAAGAACCCAATGCAGAAGATCCTCAGCCAAAAGAGCATGTTGGACAAGATGGTGCGCAAGAGACCGACACACCAGCTCCGATTTTGAGGAGATCTTCACGGCCTCCTGTACCCAACAAGAGATACATGAACTATCTGTTGCTGACAGATGGAGGGGAGCCTAAAAGCTATGATGAAGCCTATCAGGATGGAGATGCGAGCAAGTGGGAGCTTGCCATGAAAGATGAGATGAATTCTCTCATCTCAAACCAGACGTGGGAACTAGATGAGTTGCCCACGGGTAAGAAGGCCCTCCACAACAATTGGGTGTACCGGGTGAAAGAGGAGCAGGATGGCTCCAGAAGATATAAGGCCCGACTAGTTGTCAAAGGATTCTAGCAGAAGGAAGGAATTGACTACACTGATATTTTTGTTCCCGTGGTGAAGCTAAATACTATCAGGACAGTGATGAGTATTATAGCTATTGAAGATCTTTATCTTGAGCAGTTGGACGTGAAGTTATCGTTTATTCACGGAGATCTAGAAGAGGAGATATACATGCACCAGCCAGAAGGTGTTTCAGAAGAAAAGAAGAAGAACCTGGTGTGCAGACTCAAGAAAAGCTTGTATGGCCTAAAACAAGCCCCAAGACAGTGGTACAAGAAGTTTGACGACTTCATGCACAAGGAAGGTTTCGAGAAGTTCAATGCCGATCACTATTTCTACTTTAAAAGATATCAGTCCAATTATATCATTCTACTGCTGTATGTTGATGATATGTTGGTTGTAGGTGAAGATATGAATGATATCAGGAGTTTGAAGCAGCAGCTGTCAAAGAAATTTGACATGAAGGACTTGGGTTCAACAAAGAAGATCATTGGAATGTAAATCATGAGAGATAAGAAGAGAGGTCTCTTACAGTTATCTCATGCGGAGTACATCAACCGCGTTTTGCAGAGATTCAACATAGGTGACGCCAAGCCAGTGAGCACACCCTTGGCCAGCCATTTTCGCCTATCAAAGGATCAGTCTCCTTAGTCTGAAGAAAAGAAAGAGAGTGTGGCTAAGTTCCCTTACGCCTCAGCTATCGGAAATTTGATGTATGCAATGGTCTGTACGAGACCAGACATTAGCCATGTAGTAGGAGTGGTCAGCCGGTTCATGTCGAATCCAGGAAAAACTCATTGGAAAGCGGTCAAGTGGATTCTGAGATATCCATGAGGCACCACACATAAGTGTCTGCACTTTGGTAAAGGAGAGGTAGAAGTACAAGGGTACGTAGATGCAGACTTTGGAGGTGAAGTCGATTAACCGAAGAAGCACTATCGACTACGTATTCACTGTCGGAACTACTGCTGTTAGTTGGATGTCACAGATACAAAAGATTGTCACT